CAACTAACTGAATTAAAGGACAATTAGGTTTGAATCATAAACTCGTCAAGATTAATTGAATATGTACTTTAGTACATGCAGGTCATTCAACGTAATTCTCCCTTTTTATATCTGTAGATAGGGAATGTGGGAGCTGAGCAACACAAGACAGGAGAATAAATAAATAAATAAAGACCTTTGGTTATGACTTTTAATGATGACAAAAAAGAAAAGATATTCAAGAAAAAAACACCTGCTAAGTAATTTTTTTTAGCGAGTTTTACCCATGCACGCTTATAAATGATGCAAAAATCTTCAATCTGTAATGGAGGACAAACATATGTTAAGTAAGGATTTTGGGTCTTACCTATTATGCCACATGTAAATATGTTAGGAGCAAAAATATCTATAATGTATGTACTATGATATAGTTTTGCTTATAAAACCTAAAAATCGGTGGAATAATCCATAATTTAACCTTGAATGTCAAAATGATTGAAATTATATTTGACCAAAAAATGCAAATGAAAAAAACTAGCACAAACCTTAAGCACTTCACAGATATATAAGGGGAAAGAAGAGGGTTTGAACTAATTTGGATAGCATAGAAAAGAGAGGCAAGAATTGGAGTAACTTCCATATGAGTTTTGAATTGAAGTGCTTTTATGTGACTGTAATGATAATTAAGAAAATAAAATATTATGTGGAGGGTTAATTTTTACCAAATAGAATAAATTTGAATGTACATGTATTTTGGCTTCATGTCTGCATTTCAAGCTAAGTCAAATAAAATAATTATGTGTTTTACTTTACAGTCATTGTTTTCTAAGGTATACGTTTGTTATGGATTGGGATATTTTTTTAATCATTTTTAGGATTTTTTTTTCTTGGCCAATAATCATTTTTAGGATTGAAGGGCAAAATTAGTTACACCATCAATGTATTTTTTTTATATATATTTATACCTAACCCATTTACATGTAGCAAAGTTGGTGGAACATACAACTTTTACCAACAGACATTGGGATCCATTATAGATCAAAGATTTTTTGCACCATTTTTTTAGAGAAAATAATAATAAAATTTCTTTAAATTATATAAATAATAATTTAATCTTTTAAAATATCATAATTTTATTAAAGTTATTAATAATTTTTCTATCATTAATAAATCTATTTAAATGACAAAATTGTCCTTATTAAAAATAAAATGATTCATAAATTTTATTTAAATAATCACAACTTTTCTTTTTATATTCACGACAATGTAACAATAAACTATAACTTCACATGTTAAATTTTTTATTTGCTATTGCATTGTTGTGAATATAAGAAAAAAATTTGTGACTATTTAAATAAAACTTATGAATCGTTTTATTTTTAACAAAAATAATTTAATTATTTATATCAATTCATTAATGATATAAAAAGTTTTAGGGATTTCACTGCAATAATGACATTTTGAGTTATTAAATTATTATTTATATATTTTAAAAATATTTTATTATTAATTTTTTTTCTTTATGATTTAAAAGTAAAATTGTACTATATTTAAATTAACGATGCCAGTAACTGTTGGTAGAATATTTTACGGCAAGATTTAAACCTTGACCCTGAAATAGATACTTTGCGCAAACTTTTTCATTGTACAAAACCTTAACCTGGCATGCTTGAAACGCTTTAGGCCTTCTTGGATTTTAATTGAAAAAAATTAATCACAAAAAAATGATTATCAAAATACGATGATGTTTGGATAAATTTTTAAAAATTAATTTTAAAAAATTGGAGTTTAGATTTTTAAATGGAACAAAATTCAGCTTCTCCCAAATGAAGTTTGGAAAGCCAAATAAAGTTTTAAAAAATTGGGGTGTTTGAATAAATATTTTCAAAATCATGATTTTGAAGTCACAATCGACTCTCAGACTGCATCCAAACAGGCCCTTAGTTACATGAGCGTGATGATAACTTCGAGTCTTCAACTCCTGTCCTTTCGCAGGAACGCGTCGCACATGTATACTAGAAAATTTAAAATATATATTTCCAGCTCAAAAATCAATCAAACTAGGCGGGGTCCAGTATTCCTAGCGTAGTGTCTTTTAATTGCCCCTAAAATCTAGCCATAAAATATTCTACAAAAAGTTACTGGGATCTTTTATTTAAATAGAGTACAATGTTATCTATGAATTCTCTAAAAATGGTGCAAAAAATCTCTTATACGCAATGGATCCCCAACCTCTGTTAAGTAAAAGTTGTAAGTCTCGCCTATGTTGCTAAATGTAATTATTGTCTATGTTTTTTATACTGGGAAACTACTAATTTATATGCTCTACTATTATGTCTATTAAAATTTCAAACGTCACTAAAACTTTTTTTTTTAAAGTAGTGTTTTTTTCAAGCTCACAATAATTAACTCATGTGTCTGATTCAACAACAAAAAAAGAAAAAAATAATAAAAAAATCTTGCTAAATTATATAGATGACAATCTAATTCTTCAAAATGTCATAATTTTACTTAAGTCCCTGGAGACTCTTATGTCAATAAATTTTAAATTAAAAAAATTATTTTATTTTTATTGACAAGTTGTAATTTTTTATTTAGTTTTTGAGATTTTTTGGAATAAAAATTATTATTTTTTAAACAAAAGTTGTGATTGGGGCTTGTTATTTTGAGAACTTATTTTTCAACAACAAAAATTATAATTAATAAGTTGTAATTTCTTATTCAATCTTTATAATTCACAGAACAAAGGTTGTAATTAGGGCTCATTATTTTGAGAATTTATTTTTCAATAATAAAAATTATATTTGATAAATTATAATTTCTTATTTAACTCTTACAATTAACAGAATAAAAATTATTATTTTTTAAGCAAAAGTTGTGAGAGGGGGATTTTATTGTCATTTCAAGCTTGAAAGTCATTGCTGCTTTCTAATTCTACACATTTTTGCTAATACTTTCTCTAATCCTTATTATAAGACATTTTCAACTATTTCACTTATCTTAATAAAAGTTAGTTTTTTTTTTATATCATAAAAAAGTTAGAGATACTTTCATTTTTATTATTGACTTTAAATAATAATAGAACTACATTAAATACCTTCACGCTAATCAAGGAGGAATAAGTTGAAAAGAATGGTTTAATTATTACAAGATATTCTATATTTTGAATTAAAAATTACTTTTGGTGTCTTATAAATAAAACTGAAGAAAGTATTTCGCATATAGCTTAATTATGTGAAGCAAGTCATAGCAAGTGAAATACAAAATAGGAGCTTTATTCGACTGACTATTGTGCTCTAATTTGCTTTTGTTCCTTGTTCCATAAAATTTGGTACGAGGGAAGCAGTGAGAAAGGGCTGAACTTTAATGTCACCCTCAGATTCGATCTCCGGATCTTCTTGCAAAGAGGACGTGGTTAAATTAAGCACATGTGGAGACTTATTTTGGGATTGATTTGACCACAGGATTAAAAAGTTTTCGTCATCAAGGTTTGATTGGGTTTCTCTAAGCTATAGATTTAGATCTCATATATCTATATATTTACGTATTTTTATATGTTTATAAAATAGCTTTGAATTTTCACTGAAAGAAAGAGTTTCTTATAACAATAACAACTAGATATAAAGTTTATCCTTCTTTTCTGCATAAGCGTGGTTGAGAATTTGAGTTATTTCTGTTTTCCTCTGTTTTTTGTGCCATATGAGTTGGTTCTTGGAAAACCTAGAAGCAATGCTGGTTGGAGTGTGGAACATTAAAATCATACACATGAATTGCTCGACATATTCACTGCCTCGTATAACAAACATTGTCTGCAAACCAGAAGCCACCAATCATCGAGCAAAGTCTAATAATCTAAATTTTCCCTAAGCATGTCTAATTTGATCTTTGTCACTGGTTGAAAAGGCGAGATATAATGTGATGCCAATATGTTTTGCTCTGATTGAGACTCTTACTGAAAATATTTTTTAAAAATGTACTGGTTTTGATGGCCTATTTAAGGGCATCTAGTAGTTGACAAAAGTAGTAGTGCTGTTATGCCTTCCAAATAATGAGGAGGCATTGGTCTTAATGGGCTAATCCCTAAGCTTAATTTGTCTATCTCTTAGTCATTTGCCAAAGGTTCAGATTAGCTGATGATATATCAACCTTTTACAGTAGTCTTCTATCAATGGGTATTGTTGATAGACTGCACGAGCTTAATTAAAGCAATAACTTGTAGATAGTACGCACGGGACAATATTTCAAGTGAATTCTGTTTCTGCTGGCTGGGCTGAACTTTGATGTACAGTACTCATGATATCAATCACCAGATATTGTTCTTCAACCTCTTGAGGCGTGACCATAACATGCTGGGTTCTCCTGTGAAGTTTCCCTGTTCCATTTTGCCTAAAAAGTATTTCAAAACTGTCTTCAATTTTTTGTCTTTCGATCCACAATAGAAATGATGTCTTCTTCAGTATTCCTTCCATTCTATAACTTTCCAGCTGAAAGAAAGATTTCTGAAGTTATTTGATGTAGTGAAACAAAACCTTCTGTTGTTGATATCAAGGAATCGCTTATTTTTTCAGACAAAATGATTGAGACACTTGCTTTTTGGGGAAAAATGTATGAGAAAAAGTAAGTGCAGCATCTATTGAGAAGAAAATAGTAGAAAATCATTTGAGATGGTTTGAACATCACAAAGAAGATCACAGGAAGCACACGAGAAAAGGGAAATAGATAACTTTAAACCCTATTAAGAGGGATAAAAGAAGACTAAAGAGAACACATTTAGAAATTGTTAACAACGTTTTTAAAAACTTAGTAAATAATAAAACATAATGACATCATACAATTCATATAGCTAACCCCACTTAATGGGATAAAACTGGTTGTTGTTGTTTGAAAAGAAAAAATTTGTATTCTAGACAAGTAGTCAATCAAGATTATGGTATAACTATTTGGTTACAGTTTCTCCACATTGTCATTGTTTGTGTTGCTTTTAGTGGTTTCAGTTGTATTACACACTAATTGCAAGGGTGTCTTCATAAGATTTGACTAGATTCCATAGAAGCACAGACATTAATAGCATAAAGTTTCTTACTTTAGGAAGATGACATATTCCTGTGAAAGATTTCTGCTACCTATCCAAGTAAGACAGAGTTACTTAAATAAACTGATTCACTTATAGACTTGTTTCTCTACAGGAAGATTTATTTCACTGAAGGAAGATTTATTTTGTTCAATGCTTCTTTCAAAAGTGAATCTTCCTTACTTCTTCACTTCAGCTTCAATATCATAAACCATGATAACGATAACCCACAAATTACTATACTTAATCCAATGATTAACTTTGTCTTGCTTGCACTCTAGTTTCCTCCCAGCAGACTCGAATCAAAGGACCATGAGCATAGTGTATGTATCTCCCAAAGAAGTCCCGTGGCTGAAGAGAAGCCAAACTGAACCTGATCTGGAAGAATCTCTCTCAAATTAATTCCATGGGAATAATCTTGCTGGATTGCCATGCCATCCTTATATCCAGTGAAGAAAACATTTAACTGGTATGAGCTAGAATTGTAGGTAATCTCAGCATCATACTTTCTGCCATCTTTAATACTTAACCATTCTGTTGTGTAAGGTGTCCACATTTTGTTTATGTCGACACCGACATGATCATAAGGCGGATCGTCGTCATTGGGCAAGGTATCAAACTCAACTGCTACAAATGGATGCTCTTGTGTATAATTTGGATCATCCATTACCTGTTTTCGACCCACAAGACCAATCCCAGAGCCATCTGGAGGTACAGGAAGTGAAAAGTTTGGATGTGCCAGGAAGAATGTGATGCCATCTCCACGATGATTTTCATCTGGTGAATCAATGATGAAAGTGAAATGGGTTGTGAAGTCTGCAATTTTTCCTGTTTCCTTGTCCCAAAGTTGTAACAATTTGTTATATGTCACTCTCCCAGCACTGTCTTTTCTATATCTGAGCCAGAGTCAAAATGTTAGAGATTTGATAAATTTATGACTAAGGCCATGTTTGATTTTATTTTAAATTTTTTTCTGTTTTTAAGAATAAAATAAAATATTCATTTTAGTGAGTGTTTTGGATTTAAATATATCCAAAACTATTATAATTTTTTAGGAAAATCACATCCAAGAGCCTAGTAAGAAATTTATTCTCTGACAAGAAATAATACGAAATAAATCATTGTTAAAATACAAACATGAACTTGTTTTTTTTTTTAATGAAATTTGTTATTAATCCTTGTTTATGAAAAAGGTCTTTAGATATGATTCTCCCAAATTATTTTAAAGAAAATCAAAATATCTTAGAGCCATTTTTGCAGTTTTGTTTTTGTTTTCAAAGCATAATATATTTGATTATTCAAAACTAACTCAATTATGGTTAATCATTATCATAAGTCATTACCATTAACCATTAACAACCACCATTATTGGACTCAAAAACTTTACAAATTAACATAATTAAACATTTTTTTTGTTTTATTCCGAAAAACAATTCTAGAAACTTGATTACAAAATAACATTTTTTTAAATAAAAAAGTAACACAATCAAAAAGGAACTTTTTTGAGTTTTCTTTTTGTTTTGTTCAGAAAAACAACTCTAAAAAATTAATTACAAAAGAATGTTTAAAAATAAAATGGGAACACAATCAAACACTCCCTAAAAGAAAAGGATTTTTTTTTTTTAGTTTTAGTAAAATTAGGCAGGCATTCCTTCTGTTTTCAAAATCCATTCAAATCTGTTTTGGATAAACTTCCACTGAATTTCATTGAAATTACACCAATGTCAAATCTGCTCTGCTTTTTAGGTTTGAAAATATGGCAAAATTTTGTGTCATTTCGTCTAAATAAGGGGTTACATGCATAATTTATTATAAAATTATTCTCATGTCTCCCTTTGTTTTTCTTAAACTTGAGTCCAAGTGGTTCTTGACATACTGATTTTCAGAGTTACAATCCCCTGTTTTTCCTCTGTTTTTTATTAGAATAAAATGAAATTTAATAACAAAGTGGATGACGGATCAGGGCCTCATATCTACATGTTGTGTCTGGAAGTCTATTAGATAAGATCAAAATCTTAAATAAGATCATTCAAAAGACTCTATAATTTTAAACCTTTCTCTCATAAGAGAAAGAGAGAGAACTTTCAAGTCATATTTCACCAGAATCTTCAAGATTAATAATCTACTCTTCTTTCTAACAATTTATTGATCTTTCACTATCCATCATTATCATCTTTCCTAACTAATAAGTAATCACTGATCTTTAAACGAATGTCCAAATCAGACTCACTGCCTTCTGAATCAATCAGAAGAAACCAGGTAACCTCAATACCAATACAAATCATATTATCCTAAACCAAACAAAAATTATGTATAAATTAGAAGATTAAATGATATTACCTGGTGAGTTGGAGGAACCCATTTTGTTGATAAACATCTCCATCAAACTTCAAGTCCTCATAACTCATCTCAAGAAACTGCTGATAGTTAAAATGGATTGAGGCTGCACCAGGGATTATCAGAAACAGGAATAATATTTTGGTTATGACTAAACCAGGAAGGCTATGAGTTCTTCTCCTGTATTGAGACGTCTCCATGGTTAATTATATGAAGCTTTTGAGGTTGAGGAGGAACAACTTGCTTTATATGAATGAAGGGCTAATGAAGTTGTCTGAATGATTGAAACGCCTCCATATCATACTTCTTTTTTTGATGAAGTTGAAAAGTATTGATGTGAATTAACTGAGCTCAATCATCAATCCCTTTTTCCAATTTTGGTCCAAGGTTGCGGCAAAAAGAGAGAAGAAAATTTCAATATTAATACTACCTCCTGTCTAAAATATAAGTCTTTTCTTCTAATTTTTTGTCCAAAATATAGGTTCTTACTGGATAACATTTGTATCATCAACTACTTTCTTTTCTTAATTTGTTTAGTTCTACAACTAAGTATTATGAGTAATTATCCTTGATTTAACTAGAGTAATTTAAAAAAAAAAATTGTAACCTACAAGTTATAGGGCCGTGTAAGCCATGAGGCAAGAGAGACAATTGCCTTAGGCCTCCAAAAAAAAAAAATTCATAATGCTCCTATTATATATGTGTAATTGATATTTATATTATTATTTATTTAATTGCAAATGAATAAAAAATATTGATTATTCTTCCTATTCAAAAGCTTCAATCATTCCTAGCATAACATTAATTATTGAGCTGATCTTATTATCCACATAAAAAAAAATAGCAAGATCCATAATATACTAATTTGCACTATATTAGCTTGCTCTAACTTCCTCTCATAGTTTTATTTTTTTCATTTTTTTCTCCTTTTCTTACTCTAAAGCTTAAAATATTGACAAATATTAGTATAAAAACTATGTGCAGTTCAGACCTTTAAGTTGATACCTTCAAGCCTTATTAAAATTTTATTTTAGATTTATATAATTATTATTAATTTTTACATTAATCATTGACAGGGTCGTGGAAGCCACAAGGCAAGTGAGGCAATTGCCTTAGGCCTCCAAAAAAAATATTAATACCCCTATTATATATATGTGTAATTGATATTTACATTATTATATATTTAATTGTAGATGAAAAAGAATAAAAAGTATTAATTATTCTTGTTAAAAAGTTCCAACCATTCTCTGTATAACGTTAATTATTGAGTTGAGTTCATTATCTACGTAACAAAAGAATAGTGAGATTTATAATACACTAATTTATACTACATTAGCTTGTTTTAAAGTCCTCTCATGGTCACACTTTTCGTTTTCTCCTTTTTTTATTCTGAAGTCTAAAACATTGACAGATATTAGCATCAAGACCTTGTATAGTTTTAGCCCATCAACATGGCACCTTTAAGCCTTATTAAAATCTTGTTCATAATTTATATAATTATTATTAGTTTTTTACACTAATCATTGATATTATTAGTCTTAATTATGTCTTTTTTGTTAAAAATATATTGCCATAGCATATTAATGTTAATATTCTATTTCAATAAATAAGATAGGGTAGAAGCACTTTGTCAATACTAATTTTCATTTAACTATTAAATTAATTTAGTAATTTATTAAAATCGCTATATTACATAATTTTAGTATATAATTTTGTAAAAAATGATGAGTGGATTTTTTTTTTGAAGGGACAATTACACATGTTAGGTTTTACACAAATAATTTTGCCTTAGACCTAAAATATCTTCACACGCCCTGTCATTCATATCATCAGTTCTATCTACATCTTTTTGTTAAAAATATATTGCCGCCCCATACCAATGTTAATATTCACATTATATCCCAATACATAAGATGGAGTAGAAGCACTAATTTTATCTCTCTATCAAATTAATTTAGTATTTTATTAGAATTATTATATTACAAAATTTTAATATATGATTATGAAAAATGATTAGTGGATTTTTTTTTGAAGGGGCAATTATACATGCTATGTTTTACTAATGATTTTGTCTTAGGCTCCAGACTTCTTCGATAACTTCCATTTAAGAGAGTTATATTTAGTCTACATGCAATTAGGAAAAATAGGGCTATATTTTACTACTCTAGCCCTTTTTATAACAAACGTTCAACAATTTTAATGCCTAAAATTAAAATTAATAATCACAATAAAGTGTACCTAAGGGCTAGGAATAACAGCTTATGCAATTAATTAAAAAGGGGAAATATTGAGAAAAAAATTAACTAATATATTTTTTCCTTTATATTTAGATCACATAGAGTTTTAAAATGTTGCCCTGAGAAAGTATATGTACACAAGAGCAGAGGTACTATATTATTTACATTCATTGTATATGAATGGAAAACATTCTTTGAAATTTAATTGGATGTGATTAATTTGAAACGAATAACAAATATCTGGGTTTCATCAATGACCACACAAAAAAAAAAAAACCCAGAAAATGATATATATGGATAATAAGTGTGAGGCAGTAGTTGAGTTGACTGAGTCAATATGGAAAAATCAACTTCCATGTGCGTTAAGTGTTGACTTTGCTCTATGTAGACAAAGTCTAGCATTATTGTATTTTGGAATCACCGTCTGCATTGTCATGTCTCTGATCATATAATTAAATTTTAAGTAGGTGGGGTTATAGTGTACCACCTCTAAACGTACAATTTCAACGAGGCATAATGCTATTATTGACTCCATTTTGTGGATTTGAAGGCATCACAGAGCAGATGACTTGGCATCCTTTCTTTGCTTTAAAAATAGATACATATTATTTTTCCATTTCTATATACGACATATTAAATCACATTATCGAAATTAGGAAGACATGGTTAAGTCATTTAATTTGGTCTAAAAATAAAATAATTTTTTGATTTTATCCATATTAAAATAAAAAATTTTCAAATTCGTGTTACATTTTCTCTCATATTTAAATATTTCAAATAGGGATAATATTAGAAAAACCTAATAAATACCTCAACATTTTTTATATAATAAGAATAATCTATTTCTTCTGGAATCTGTTTTTATAATAAAGACTAAAGAAATTACATGCATACATATACATAAATATACATATCTCTTCCTATAATCTTTATAAGGTAGAGAAATATTTTTTTATTATTATTTATAAGACACCACATTGACTCCTTAATTTTTATATTATAAGTTTTCACCATTATCTCGTATTATATTTTAATAACAAAAGAAAAATATGTTTATTTATTAAGTGTAAAATTAAAAAAAATTAAATTTTTAAATAATATTAATGAGTTTTAATTTTTTTTAATAAATATGATTGAAGTAATTTATAAATAAAACTCAATAAACATGTGGCGAGTTAAAACAGCTTAGCGTAGGATCGGTACTCCTCCTCCCTTGTATGTCAAGATGCTTTGGGAAAAGCTTCTCTCATATTGCTGCTCTCTTGTCCTCTCACGTTCTCTAAAATACAATTTCTCACATCAATTCTTTGGCCTTTTGTTTCTGAAGAATTTACCATCCTGCCACACGTGTGTTTAGAGGTTAGGAGACAAAGTTAAGAGGGAATCTATTTCCAGATATTTTGCCTGCCAATATGATTTGATTTTATTACTATCTTTTGTTTGTTCTTTCCATGTTCTTGTATATTTTTAAAGAGAAAAAACACAGAAGAAAGGTTAGCACAGGATTGATAGGCCCAAAAAAAAAAAGTTGTAAGAGTCATGAGACATTAGGAGGAGGAAGAAACGGGTGGGATATATATATAATTATGGCCTTGAAGAAGGATGGGATCAGGAAATAATAATGATAACGAAGTCCTCCTGAAGAAATACAACAAATACCCCCCCAACAAACAAATCCCCCCCAAAAAAGTGTACGGAAGTACCCTTATAGGAGGGCTCATATATGTATGAAAACACTCTTAAATTAAATATAGAGGTAGAATGTGCTGGAACGTAACGTTTATAAAATATGCTTAGAAAGGATGAATATATCGGAGCTCTTATTACCATAAGTGTTTCCATGGGTATTAAAATTTTTTTTTCCGATTTAGAACTTATACGAATGCTTTTTCAAAGAAACACTATATGTTTTCATAAAAAGTTCTCAAAAAATTACTTATAGGAACGCTTCTTTATAAGATCGTATGTTTTTTTTTTATTATTACAAGTAAATTGGTAATAGTTTGGTTGCTGAAAAATTAAAATTATTGTATTACAGGGGAAGAAGCTCACATAACTAAATAACATAAAACAGAACTCTCACTTGAATATAGCTTTCTAGAAGGTTAGGTAGAAACTTCTTACTAAAGAGAAACTTCCTTGGCTTTTCTTCTTCCTTGATGGGTGCCTGATGTGGATGATTGTGAGGATCCAGTGTATGATCTATTACTAGGTGAAGGCCTAGCTTGATTGGTTGCAGCAGAACTAGCATAACCAGATGAAAAATTTGAAGAACCAATATCTGAAAAAGTTGGAGCAACATAGACTGGTTTTGGCATTACTGGTGGGAGAGTGGGCAATGGAGCTTCAAAGTTAAGTACATGAAGAGCTTGTCTAATTGTAGGCCTCATAGTGTAATCTGGATGAGCACACCATAGCCCAAGAATCATTAACCTTTCAAGTTCTTGCTCATCAAAATCTCCATTATCAAGCCTTTTGTCAATTGCTTCAAGAAGCTCACCTCTTCCATAGAGTTCCCATACCCATTCCACCATCATGAACTGTTCATCACTAGCATTTGGGTCAATCGGTTTTCTCCCACAAGCTAATTCCAAAGCAACAACACCAAAACTGTACATGTCAGACTCTTTTGTTGCCTTACCCATGGCCAAACATTCAGGAGCCATGTATCCTTTTGTTCCTGCTGCAATAGTTGTTGTTAACCCTTTCCCATGTTCCACGATCCTCGCTAGCCCAAAATCTCCAAGTTTAGTATTGAAATTTGAATCCAACATGATATTGCTCGATTTTATGTCTCTGTGGACTACACATTGCTGCCACTCTTCATGCAGGTAGAGTATAGCAGCGGCTAGGCCTTGAGCAATATTATATCTAGTTGGCCCTGTCAAGAGGTTTCTGCTTTGAAATAAATGGTAATCTAAGCTTCCATTTGGCATGAACTCATAAATGAGTAGAAAATCATTCTTCTCATGGCACCAACCCATCAGTTGCACCAAATTCCTGTGCCTTAGTTGACTAATGATCTTTACTTCAGAGGCATACTCCTTTACTCCTTGTTTAGATTCTTGGGACACCTTCTTAATTGCTACATAAGTATTTAAGCCTCTCAAAAATCCTTTGTAGACCCCACCAAAGCCTCCTTCTCCAAGTTTGTGTTCCTCTGCAAAGTGGTCTGTTGCTCTTACGAGCTCATTATAAGAAAATTTCTTCGGTCCAACGCTTTCAAAATCTTCGTCCAGGGAAAGATCCAAGCCATCATGATTTTTCTTTGCCCTGCAATTAAACTTCCATATCAGAAACCAAGCTATGCATAACCCTGCAATCACTACAACTGATCCAATGCTCAATCCAATGATCAATCCCTGCTTGTTGCTTTTACCCTTGTTCACTACTCCCAATATTGCAGCATTTGCATTAAAGGACCATGAACTTAGTGTATGCAACTCAAATTGTAATCCTGTGGATGAAGAGAAACCAAACTGAACTTGTTCTGGCAGGTACTCTCTCAAGTCAATCTTATGGGAATAGTCTTGTTGAATTGAGGCATTATCCTTAAATCCAGCAAAATTGACAGTTAATTGGTATGAGCTAGAATTGTAGGAAATCTCAGCATCATACTTTCTACCATCATTCTTGGTGTACCATTGTGTTGTGTAAGGAGTCCACATTTGTTTTACATTGATTCCAACGTGATCATAAGGTGGATCACCCTCATCCACGTTGGGAAAGGTGTCAAACTCTACTGCTACAAATGGATGTTCGTTGGGGTAATTTGGATCTTTCATCTCTCTACGACCCACAAGACCAATACCAGTGCCATCTGGGGCACTGGAAGTGGAAAATCTGGGTGTGCCAAGAAGAATGTGATGCCATCTCCAATCCCATCACGAGTTTTGTTTAGTGCATTGATGATGAAGCTGAAACGAGTAGTGAAGTTTGCAAGTGTTCTTGTTTCATTGTCCCAAAGCTGCAACAACTTGCTATACGTTACTCTCCCTGCACTATCTTTCTTGTATCTGAGTCAAGAATCAGATTGTTAAATTCATAAAAAAATTTTACGTAAGCATTTTCTTTATTATTTATAGGGAAACACAATTGTTAGTCGCTATATTTTAGTGTATTTTGGTATTAATTCTTATATTTTTTTAAATTGCTCCAAGTCCTTTAAGTTTTATCTGTCTCTAGTGTTAGTGCTTTAAAATTTAAGAGTTGTATAAAAAATGAATAGAAGATTAAAAATAAAAAGAAAGAAAGACATTAAATCAAAATTCAGGAACTGGCCATAGATAGATAAAGCTTTCAAAGGAAAGAGACACCATATCTACGATTGGGAGATAGAAAGGCTCTTGGTCATTTTGCTTATATAATATTCAACTCATTATAATTTTACTAATTTAGCAATAGAATTAGTAGAGTTTTGCACACATTAGTAAATTTAATTTCACCAGTGATGAGGAATTAACGTTGCAAACTGATGAAATTTAAAGGACTTGAAGCAAATGGAAAAAGTACAAAAACTAATGTCAAAGCATGCTAAATATACAAGAACTAACAATTAAATTTTTCCTTTATTATATAATACCCATTTAAATTTTAATAGCCTCGTTTTCAATCATCAACAACAATTATATAGCCCAAATTTGAAATAGATGAATTTACAAGTGAGATTAATTAGTGTTCTTGCCTAGAGAATTGCGCAAATACCAGATTGTTGCCTTTTTAAGATTGGGACTAAATTATTTTTAAAGGAAGAAAAGGTTAATAACTTGAAAAGGAAAACAAAAACAAAAATAAAAGAAGTGGCCCAGCCACCAGCACTCAGCTAGTGGACTCTACAGTTACAAGCTCGACATTGCGGTCAGGTCTTAGGTGACTAGATGACCATCATTGATGGCTCTAGCAGCCAGCAGTAATTTTTTAATTTCATTCATTAAGGAAAAAATCGCATCTAAAAACTTCTGGAGATTATTTATTACAAAAATGATCAAATAAATTTGAAATTACTCTGCAAGATAAGAGATTTAAATATAATTGAAACTTGTTTTTTGAATGAGAAAAATTTTCCCTTGCTTCTTTCTGAAAAAACTCCCTCCATGATATGAGGGTTTTGAAGCCGGCAAAGGTTGCAGGACCACCACCGATGATTGCTGGTGTCAGAATTCTAGCCCTGGTAATCATCAAATCTCCAAGGTTGCTGAGGGGTATTTAAATCCTCATTAAAAAATTTATAGCCATCAAGCCACTAAATCTATTTAGTTAAAATGGACAAAAACTAGTTAAAATGGAGAAAACTAAGGCCCGTTTGGTATGATGGAATAGTTTTTGATGGAATTGGAATTGTAATTGGAATCAGAATTGGAATCAAAATTGGAATAGAATTGAATTATAAAAGTATGTTTGGTATGTCAGAAAAATTAGATGGAATCCTTGCATTACTTTTGTTTGGTATGCAAGACATGGAAATGGAATTATACTTAAAAGACAAAAATACCCCTATATAAAAATTAAAATAAAACATAATAAAAAATTAATTGTGTACCAATTTTCTTATGTATTTTTATATTAATAAAATATATATAAATCATAGATTATATTTGTAACTATTATTCACTAGCTTGGGCCAAACAAAGTTTTTATCATCAGAGGAAATATTTTCTTGAAAATAAAATTGGCAATGGTTCCCATCCCTTCTACTTTAAAATAATACACTAACATGTAGATTTAAAAGAAAAATGTCAAACAAATCAATTCTACTTCTTATACCAAAAAATATTATAAATATATAAATTATATACAAATATTATATATAATACCATCTTATATATATATTATAACGCTTTATATATAATGAGAAAAAATATTATTCACCCTTTTATACTCCCTTTTTCTTTTTTTTTTTTTGCTAGCATATGAGGGTTTTATTTTTTTTTGAGGGCAAATTTGTCTTTCTGGAATTTGTATGAGGGCAAAAGTGTCTTAAACATTACAATTCCATAGAATTGCTCCCAATTCCATAGATTTACATAAGGAATCAAAATTAGCTTTTTCCATAGAATTAGGATTCCCAGGAATTGTAATTCTACCAAACATCACTTTATTCAGATTCCTATCCCAATTCCATTTCCATCTTCACAATTCCAACCTACCAAACATGGCCTAACATATATGTAACAATTTTAATTTTAAAAACCACTTCTTTATTATGAAGATAAAGCTGACTCTTTAAATCTTTAACTTCATGTGTTATTTTACTAATTTTATTTATTAACTTGTGATGATCAATTGCAAATTGGAATGTTTGAAAATTTATGTATTTTATGAGTTCTCATCTGTAAATGTCATTTACATACCTCTTGATTTCAGGCCTTCTAAATTGTAGTTGACCATTGCATATTATTGTTAATGAATTTTCAAACCTCTCAATTGCAATTGACTATGACAGACTAATAAATAAAATTAATAAAATAAAAAATGAAGAATTTAACTAGTCAACTTTATGTTCATAACAAAAAAATGGTTAACTATAATTAGTACACATATTAGTTTTTGACCATTATAACTAAATAGATTTGGTGACTTAGTGGCTATTAGGTTTTGGCGAGTCAAGAGATTATGGGTTCAAACCTTTCTTGATCACCGATTTCGAAGCTCCAACAATAATAGGTAGCTGGTGGTGAGGGAGGTAAATTTTTTTTAAAAAATAATTAGGGATAATTTTATCTTTTTCAACAAATTGTCATTATGCTTAGGTCTCTTGACTTATTGAGCAAATTCAAATTTATTTGGTCTTTTTTTGTAATAAATGTCCTCCCAAAGTTCATGGATGCAATTTTCTTTGATCAAAACTTTTGTCATTCAATAAAATTTTATTTTTTTGGAGTTCTGCTAATGCAATTATTGATTTTATAGGCTATGGTCCTTAACTTGAGTTAAAAAAATTTTAATTGAATTTTTTGGCATTCATCTTTCATATGTAGCACTTATCTTTCATATTTTCATTACTTATTTTTTTTAGTAGTCATATTAAATATTTTCAATACTTATCTGCCATAATTTTAATATTAAAAATTAAATATAAGTGTTTTCTTACTGAAAAACATATAAGATATGCATTGAAAATAACTACGGTAATTGCTGAAAAATTAAAAAAAAATGAGTAGTAAAATTGCTAAAAATAATATTGAAAATTTAGAAAATAAATATTGAAAATATAGAAGATGAGTGTTTGAAAAAATTTGTCCAAATTTTTTTTTTTCAAGTTAAAAATTTCCTCATCCTTTTTTAGAATTTATTAATTTAGGATC